GAGGAAGGGGCAGCCGGGGGGGTGAGGGGCAGCTCGTGAGCGCCCCCGAAGGAGGGCTGCAGGTGGCTCTTCTGGGGGGTAAGGCCCAGGCTGGGATGCGAAGGGGGGAGCCCCCCGGGGGAATGGGCCGGCATCTCGCTACTCCACGGGTGGAAGATCCTGGATGGAGATCCCAGAGCTGGGTCGTAGGAGACCTGTAGGAAATCCGAAGGGGCGGCTCCCGGCTGTCCGATTCGGCTACAGGTGGCGGCCAGGAGAGCCAGGGGGGAGTGCTTCGCCAAGTCTGGGGAGGCGCTGGGCGTGCGATCCTGGTGTGGGGGATAGAGGAAGACCCGGTCACTAACCTCTCTCCCAGATCATTTGCTGTCGCTCGCTGCCTACCCTACAGTCATCTCCCCTTTCCACCTCCCCGAGGCGCGGCCGCTCCCGGAACTGGAAAGTTTCTGTGTGTTCTCTAGGGGAACGCGGAGCGCTAGTCACTCAATACATGGGCAAGAAACTTTCCTCACACTCTGCCAAACTCTCGGTGAGGAGAAGCCTGAGTCAGCGGCAGGACAGGCTACAACAAGCGTCTCCCCCCCCCCCTTCGCCCGGCTCTAACCCCCCTCCCGCCAGGCACTGTGGGTTCTCTGGAGCTCCCGTAGATGCCGCCTGCAGAAGTGAATTCCCAGAGCTAACCCACCCCCTACACTTCTCCTTAGCCCAGAGTGGCTTTTACAGTGCCCGTTGCAGACCAGCGGCTTGAACCCCCAAGGATCTTCTTCATCTAGGGCCCAACCGGACCCCAACCGGGGTGAGGAGTTATAAAATAAAGGAGATTTCTTTTGTATACTTGAGACCCGTGCTTTCAGCGGTAGCAAGCCTCCTGCGGGCTGGTACTGCCTTTGGCGCGATCCCCGGAGCCCTGACAGACCCAAGGAGCCTGGCTGCGCCCTGCTTTTCCGTTACTTGGAGCGCTGCTGTCTCCCCCTAACTTTAAACTTTCTCCGTTGTTATCAGCGTGAGAGACGCACCCCGCACCCGCCCCCCTCCCAGCCAGGCAGAGCTCGCCTGGGGAGGCGCTGGTACTGACCTGGAGGAAAGCTTGCAGAGAGTCGTTGCGCACGACGGCCACAGCGGCCATGGTTACTGCTCCCGGAGCCAGGGGAGGACCCCGGGGCAGTGGCCAGGCATGGAGACGCCAAGGGGAAGACCAAGAGCTGCCCAGCTTCTTTCTCTCGCTTTCCCTGTGATCTTTGTGCCTCCGCGTCCCGGCCACCCCCCCGCGCGGCGAGATCTGCGCGGACTGTCTGACTGCACCAGGATCACCTCCAAGAATTTGATAAGGACTTTGCTGGGCCGCCAGCCAGTCAGAGGGAAGATTTATGGCTTTGAAGTTTGCCGCTACCCAATCATCAAAGAATAGCGGCTCTTTCAGAAGCGAAAGCAAATCCTTTGAATCCACAAAGCTCCTATGGTGTGTTTGTTGGTCTGGATAAAAGAACTGATTATTAGGGGGGATGGGAAGGGAGGAGATAAAGGCGGGACAATTAATGAAGTAATCACTATGTGGGAAATGTATATACACAAATAATTGGATTTTCTTGATCAAAGGGCCCCTTACCGCCTGGAGACCCTTGCATTGGATGCTCAGGACACTGGATCCCCCCACCCCTTGCTGCCTTTTTTGTGCAATTAAGGATTTGTAGCAGAGACCTAAAGCGACAATGTGTCTTTGTTATCTCCAGAGAAATCTGCCTGCGGATTCCGCTGTTAGAGTTTGATGACTCAAAGTAACAGTATAAACACAGCAAGTTCACCTGGGGGGCGTTGGGGGACCCCAGCTGCCAAACTTCCCTACAGTTTCTCTCGTGCTCTCTCCCGAAGCTGAGAACAGCAAACTCCGTGGCTCTGGCTTAGCTAAAAAACTCACGGGGGGTTCCCCACTGGCGTTGGCTTAATTAACTGAAATGTGGGCTCTGTGCATTTCTTGTGCGTCTCTGTGGCGCTGGGCTAAAGGCAGAGCTCGATGGAGCGGAATTAAAATGATGGGCTTTGGTAACGTGTGATCAACATTGTAACCTATAGACTAGGAAAATGCGTGTCCCTTTGCTGGGGGTGAGTGATCTAAAGGTGCATAAAAGACCTGTGAAAGGGAGGTGAACGTCTCTCGCGGTAGCGGTTTTGTTGGGGCTGTGTGTTTCCTTTTGATGTTAAGCGGGAAGTTGGTGCGCAAAGTGCCTCGGCTCAGATAAACTATTTGAAGTACAGTACAGGCGGCAGCGTTGCTCGAGAAACTCCCTGAAAACTTCTGCTCGGATCTCCGCGGAAGCCTCTTGCTGTGTCCCGCAGCTGGCGGGGCAAACAAGACGCCGCCCCGCGAAGTGAATCTGCCCCCGCCTGCTCTCAGGCTTCCCAGTCCTCTCCAAGCCTGTCCCGGGGCGCGGCTGTGACAGGGCGGGAGCGCGGAGCCCGGGAGCCAGGCGGGAGATAGCTCGCGCTCCTGCTCCGGCCCTGCCCCGCGCGCCGTGTCACTGAACACAAGCCCCTCTCCTCGCTGCTGGTAGAAGCAGCCCCAGCTCCGCTCTCAGCCCGGGTACAGCCAGCCCCTGAGCTGGACACGTGACGGAGGACGTTCCCCGAGCACTTGGACACACTTTGGAGCAGATAGTGCCCTGCCCTCCTTCCTTCACGTCTCTGTAACTGTTTCCCCAGGTAACTCGATCCTCCCAGTAGCCGTCGGGTTCAATTGTATTCGCGTTGCAAATGAAGCCTTTTTAAACGGCAGCACACAGAGATCTTTATCTGGCTTTCCTGCGGAAACAATCGCTGGCCTCTCAAAGGCTTCCCAGAGTGGTAGGGCTTGAATTTAGATCGGTTTCTTTGAAGGGATTAAAGTGCCAAGTCCTCTCCCACGGCTCCATATTGAGTCCGGGGGAGAAGTACGGCTCCTGCTAACCCCTCTCCCCCAACACTGACCCCCTCCAGGCTCTTGCCTGGGACTTGTAAGTGCTTCGCCAGAGTGACACTAGGGAAATGACTACAACGCACCCAAAACTAAATCGGTTCAGCCCCATCGCTAATCTCCAGAGATGACACGTCTGATTTGATGAATTATTCGGGGGAAGCTGAGGGATGGGGCTAGATTATGTCTGAAATGTAGAGTAAGGTTTTAGGGCTGTCATTTCCTGTTGTCCTTTCTTGGTTAGTAGAGGGCCAGGAGGAGCTGGGAATTGCTGATGTCCAGGACCCTCGTTTAGGATTATGACTGCTGTGACAAACGAAGACCCCCGTAATGGGACACATGAGTTCCCGAACAAACTTAAAAGCAAATGCTGGCCATGCCTAGCCTGTGTGTGATCTCTCCTCCCAGAGAGTTGCGAAATGTTTGCATCTGATTGAAAACATGCGAGTGAAGGCAGCAGCTCCAGCGCTCCAGCAACAGGGGCTCCAGTCACTGGAGACCCGGGGCAAGGCGCACATTTTGGGCCACTGGAAATCTCTCGTTGTCCCTCTGGTCCTTTGGGGACGCCGGGATTTTTCAGAGAAGGCTTTCCCCATGTGACTTGAACACACACACGTTTACACGTCAGTGCCCGGGGCTCTCTTCGCACACTCCCAGAGTAAGCTTACTTGCGGTTTTTAGGCAAGGGACAGAAACGCACGCTCATCCCGTTTAACTTTAGAGCGAAACTCAACGCAGAAAAAGAGAATCGAGTTGACGTGACAACACACAATGGGTGGATCCTCATTCCTGCCCATTCCGAGGGCACGTACGCTTCCTGGGGATGTGATATATTAACCACGCCCGTCAAATTATGCCATTTTCACCGTCCCTACCCTTTACCCTCACCCCCCACCAAAGTCGGATCTGATTTCTATTAAGATCTTTTCCCCGCGTTAATTGTATCTTTGATTACGAAGTAACTTGAATAATAAACTTCAAAAACGAAATGGAAGTCAAAGGTAGAATTGTTTAAGCAATTGATCATCCTGATGTTTCCCTTTCCCCTTACAATAAGTTATTCTACACGTATTTTGAATATCCAAATGTGTTACATTACAAAGCAGTAAAAAGTCGGACTAAGTTCCCATAAGGAATCCATAACTCGAATGCCATAAAATCCTCATGGCAACTGACTTAAAAATCGAGGGGGGAATTTCTGGTTTCCGGAATAAACAATTGACGGAATAATGAAATGTTGCAGCAGTAATTTTCTGTACAAATAATGTGTGTTCAAATTCGGAGCACTTCGGACTCCTGAAAAGTATTCTTAATGAAGTGACGTTCAGAGTTGTCATTAAATATGCAGGACTGGAAGATCAAAGTACAATATTTATTTTAGAAATTTGTTTCCGTTATCAGGAGATACAGGTATCAAGGTCAAATGTCAATTTAGTTACACAAAAACACTATTTTCGTGAGAAATGGGCTGTTGCTACATCCTAATGTAAAGAGACATCAAAGACCAGGAACAATACACAAAGCAACCCTTAGAAGAGGCGGAATTGAATAAGCTTCCATAACCACAATAAAACCCAAACCCATCCAACGTGGGGATAGAAGGAGGTCAGGTCAAACAGTTATTATCTGAGTTACAAAGCTAACACCTATGCTACGGTAGATACGCAGATGAAACGTGACACTTCCACGCAAGCCCAAAGTCCACCGCATAACGACCAGGCTGTAATAGCACGAACGGAGTTTTAAAGCAGCAAGAGCTAAGGCCAGACCCAGTCGGGAGACGGCAGCTGTAACTGTCCCAGTGCAGTGCGTGTGTGTTTTTCTCTCTCCTCAGGACTGCTGGAGGCAGCGTGGTGTCAGGGCCACAGAGAGCAGCAGCAAGGCGAGCCCTGTAGGAGGCGATCTCCAGGACCAGCAGAAGAGTGGAGCGGTGTGCGCCTGTGTGTGTGTGTGTGTGTGTCAGGGGAGGCAGGGCGCGGTCACACGTCTTCCCAGGCAGCAACAGAGAGAAACGAGAACCAAGGCAACCTGCGGAAAGAGAGGAGAGATGGGGAATGCCCAGTAGCGCCACTGATCAGACAGGCTAGCAATGAGCTAGCTTCAAGCAGACCAGTGGGGGCAGGCATGTCCCGGGAGTGAGACTCCATGGGCCACCACTGCACCCCGAGTGCTTCATGACCTACAAAAGTGGGGGGCCCTGCAGAGTTCAGTCTAGGGAGCTGGTTAAGGCTCTAATTGCCTCTTCCACAGACAGCCCCACCCCCCCCCCCCCCCCCCCCCCTCCCGCCCCTGTCCTACACCGTGTTCCTGCTTTGTTATAGGTGCTCCAGGCTACGGGGCACTTGGAACAGCTCACAAAGCTAGCGAAGGGCATCCGCCGATATCCTCAGTGGTCTACAACAAAGTATTCCTCAGTGCAGTCACTCAGCGGGCCTTTGAAATCCGGCTCCAGCAGAAAGCTCCTATTGTTCTCAACCTTCAGCGTGGAAGAGATCAAACTTTACCCTCTCCAGCTGGGAAGATTACTCGCCTCCCTCCCCCTGCCATCTGATATCCTCTGCCTTTACCTTGGAGGCTTGAAAAAGCTTATGGCCAGGAAAGGTCCAGGGCACAGTTGCTCTAACTCCTGAACACCTGACCCTAGAACATACCGCCTGTGGTATGTCAAGCCGGGTGATAGAGCTCGGAGAGTTTGGAGAAACTGTTCCAGAAAGCAAGTTCTGCCCCAAACAAAATGCTTTTCTAAATAAAAGCAGAGTTTAGTAAAAGTGACTCATTGCAGGAGGGATAAGGGATGTATTGGAATAGTGCCTTATTTCAAAAATTTTCAAAATAAGCTATTTCAAAATAACATCCAAATATGCTACATAATTTGTGTAACACACATTACATAGTTTATTTCAAGGTAAGAGTGCTGTGTAGATGCACCCTTGGAAGACAAGATACTGTGCTAGCTGAACTGTTGGTCTGCCCTAATATGGTCATTCTTATGTTCTTAATATATTCCAGAATAGCTCCCTGCATGGACATTCTATTTAGGGGAAAAAATCACTTTATTCCAGATAATTACTCTAAGGTGGCAGGTTCTGCATCCCAGTCAGCCCACCAATGTGAAATATCCACCCCCGTATCTGACATGGGCACAACACACTAATGACAGACTCAGATGCAAGGTATAATAGCTATGTTAACTTCAGCTACTGTAGTTTGCAAGAAATAAAACCTGGTTTTGGTGTGATATAACTTTAATAACTATAACTTACAAGAGCTACTCACCTCCACAAACCCAAAACAAAACCACAACAAAACCAGAGCAGGACTGGTACCATTGTTTCAGCACAAATGCA